CATCCATCCATCCATCCATCCATCCATCCATCCATCCATCCATCCATGCATCTGTCCATCCATCCATTCATCATCTATCCATCAATCCATCCACCATCTGAATCAGTGGTGTTCCCATATGCTGGCTCTCAAGTAGTGAGAAGTGTTACCAATGATTAAACAGATAACTAAAGCATTTTCCCTCCACGTACCTGGTTCCATCAACTTCCCCTGTGCAGCTTCTGCACATGTTTGGCCGAGGTTATCCCTCTTAACAGGCATCAAGTACCTGGACGTCAAATTGTTGCTTCTCCCACTGTTTCTGGGCACACGCATGTGACGCTGAGCCCTGCCGGCCCCTCCAGGATGCACAGGGTTGAGTCCCCAATCTTCCTCTTGCCTTTCATAGAAAGAGCGGGACTTGGAGCTGGCTGCGCGGATTGGGCAGTCGCTGCTGAAGAAGAATAAGACCCTAACAGAGAGGAATGAGCTGTTAGAAGAGCAGGTGGAGCACATACGGGAGGAGGTGAGGACCGCTGGCCCGGGAGGAGGCGGGTGGGAGCACCTGCACAGGCGTGTGTGAGCCCAGACTCTGCACTGGGATCTCACACGCACAGGCCCAGACAGCGGGCGGGTGCAGGAGCAGTTCTCAGTCCTTACACCAGGCCACTGTGCAGCACCAGATCCCCGGTGCCCATCCAAAAACTCACTGTTTTCAGGATGCAGATCTCAGCTCATGGCTGTCAGGGGAGAGGGGACAGGATGAGCTCGGCATCCGGGAGGGCCCGACAGTCAGGAGGGAGGGTGCTGACACATCAGTCGGTTGCGGCTGGTGGAGTGGGGATGGAGGAGAAGTCAAGCTGATTTTGCCTTCCTTGGCCCAGGGGAATGGCCACAGGGGAGAGAGCAAGGGACACACCTCCGAGGTGCCAGCTGGTGGTCGCCCTGGGCTCCTCCCACGGCTGTGTGAGATCTCTCAGCCTGCTTTGAGGAGGGAGAGGCTTTGAGTCAGACAACTGAGGTCATGCTTCCCTGTGGAGAATCCTTGACCCCGTTAGGTGGGATGGCCCTTCATGCGGCAGCCAAAACAGGCGAGTTCACCAGGGAAGACAGTCCTTGGCCTGTGTGCTGCACAGGGTTGGAAGACCCTGGGCCACGTCAGAAAACACACCTCCAGCCCTCCTTCCCAGCGAGGGCCCCGAGCTTAGCAGCACTGAGCGCTGGGAGGCAGATGAGAAGTTTCACAGTATCTGCAGGCCTGCGCCCAGTCATCAGCCTCGCAAAGCCCCCTCACCAGTCAGCAGCTCAGCTTGCCCCATGGCTCAGCTTTCCCCCGTACCCTGAGACTCTGCCCAGTAACCTTGGAGTTCAGGGGCTGACCGGCTCCGCCAGAGGCACGGGGAGGCGTGTGGTCACAAGTAGGGCTGTCACCTGTCCCTGGTGGCCCGCCTGGAGCCGGCACACCCACCGGTCTGCCCTGAGATGGCACTGCGTTCTGACATGGCCGCTCATTTCATCGAGTGTTGTGGGCCATTGTTCTAGCCGCCTGCCCAGCTGGTTATCTGGCTGCTTCCAGGGCCCCAGTGTCCCCTCCAAGCCTTCTTCTGCCCTTCTGCCCAAACATGATAAGTGTAGCCAGGGCTCCCACCCAGAAGCCACTGACAGGGCTAAGTGGGGTCACACTCAGCGCTTCGGGTGGCAGATTGGTTCTCCCTTGGGGTGCGCCCTCAGCAGTGTGAGCAGAGCGTGAACGAGCCCCTCCTGCCCACACAGGTGTCTCAGCTGCGGCACGAGCTGTCCATGAAGGATGAGCTGCTTCAGTTCTACACCAGTGCCGCCGAGGAGAGCGAGCCCGAGTCTGTGTGTTCAACCCCGTGAGTGCCTGCGCAGGCCTGGGGCGGAGGGTGGGCGGCTGCTGGGGTCAGCCTGTCCCTGAGCGGCCATCGCACTGCCCCAGTGGGAGCTGCAGGGCAGAGGGCCGATTCCCTCTCACGGGGTTTCAACGCCGGCTGCTCAGAGTGGCTGTTCGCCCTGGCGCAGCCTCGGGAACGGGGTGCGCTCAGCTGTGGGAGGAAAACACATCCTGATGCAGATCTCAGGGCTGTGAGCTCCGAGCTCACACATGCAGCATGCACAGAACACTTAATTTTAATTAACTTATTTGTATGCACTGGGGGAGAGGCACAGGCCATGACGTATGGCGTGCACATGGAGGTCAGCGGTCAGAGGACAGAGTTCAGGAATCAGTTTTCTCCTTCCGCCATGTTGGTCCAGAGCACTGAACTCCCATCTGGTGTGGCCACCAGAGCTTTGCCTCACTGAGCCGTCTCAGCGGACCACAAAACATTTGGTTAAATAAAGCTCCCCCCGCCCATTTCTGAGCTACTACACCTTTGGGGTGTGCCTCCCGGTCTCCACAGGTGAGAGGAAGCGCATGCCCTGACTCTGAGTGTGCTTCTCTCCCAGGCTGAAGAGGAATGAGTCATCCTCCTCCGTCCAGAATTACTTCCACCTGGACTCTCTGCAGAAGAAGCTGAAGGACCTGGAAGAGGAGAATGTTGTACTTCGATCTGAGGTGACATGCGCACCTGCTCTTGCCCCTTGGAGGGGTGGGTGTCCCTCTGCATAGCACCATCTGAAGGAGTCCTTCCTGAGTGTGCACGCTGCAGCCAGGGCACTCGGATGTAGGCCCAGCCATGTGTGGGTGTCGCCAGGCCCAGCCATGTGTGGGTGTCGCCAGGCCCAGCCATGTGTGGGTGTCGCCAGGCCCAGCCATGTGTGGGTGCTGCTTCTGGGGTGGCTATCACAGTGGAAAGGACTGAGAGCGTACAGGTGCCCGAGCAATGGCCTGAAGGCTGGAGTGACACCAGCTACCATATTACTGAGGATCAGATTTGCTCCAAGAGCACGGACACAGGTCTTGCTGATGAACCTGAAAAGGCTGAGCCGAGGCAGCTGGGAACTTAGAAGGCACTGTAGCAGGCACCTATCCTATGCTGTTATTGTTTTCATCACCATCATCACTGTCACCATCACCACCATCACCATCATCACCGTCACCATCACCACCATCACCATCATCACTGTCACCATCATCACTGTCACCATCACCACCATCATCACAGTCTCCGTCACCATCATGACTGTCACATCATCACTGTCACTATCATCACTGTCATCACTGTCACATCATCACTGTCACCATCATCACTGTCACCATCACCACCATCACCATCATCACTGTCACCATCACCATCATCACTGTCACCATCATCACTGTCACTGTCATCACTGACACCATCACCACCATCACCATCATCACTGTCACCATCATCACTGTCACTATCATTGTCACTGACACCATCACCACCATCACCATCATCACTGTCACCATCACCATCATCATTGTCACCATCATCACCATCATCGCTATTGTTAGTGTTCACAGCAAGGCCAAGCATCTCTGAGTCTCATTTGGGGCAAGACTCGGGCACCAGGCTGCTGAGCGTTTGACATTGTCAGGGTTAAACGACTAAGGCTAGATTTGAAGCCAAGCCTCTGACTCTAAACACACCTTTTTTTTCTCCTCATCCATCACCACTGTCTAAAACCTCCGATGTGAGTAGATTTGGTGCTCCATTAGCCGAGAGCTCATATGTGGGTGAAAGCGTGGCATCCCTCGGTCCACCCGGCCCTTGTCTGTCAGCTTTGGGCCGTGAACCTATGTGAGCTGGCTCCAGACTCCCAGGGTCCCTGCAGGCAGGCAAGCCGCCTGCCACTTTGAACTTGCCACGCACTGGAGAGAGAGCCTCCTGTCTGGACCTTATAAGACACAAGGAAGTCTTTAGCATGGCCCATCTTTGCAGGCCCCACAGCAGCAGGCTGACGCCCAGGCTTGCTCTGGGGCCATGGCTGAAGAAGGCTGAGCCATGGTTTCCATGTGCAGTCTCCCGGTGTCTGCCAGGCAGCTCAGTCAGGTGTCGGCCCCTCCACCCCAAGAACTGAAGGACTCTGATCCAGGTGTGGATTCCTGACGGCCCACGTCTGTCCTCAGGATTTTCATGCCTGCCTGTGGAGCCGAGTCTTTAACTACGTAACTGAGCATTTACACGGTCCTCTAGGCTATTCTTTTTCCCTTTTTTCAGCCAGAGCATGCCGTCCAAAGTCCTCAGGATAGCTGTGAACGCCTTCTCTCTCTCTTTTTAGAACTCACACAGATCTGCCTGCCTCTGCCTCCTGAGTGCTGGGGTTAAAGGTGTGTGCCACCACTTCCAGACTTTTTTTTTTTCCACACAGGCTATCTGTATTCCAGGCTGGCTTGTTTGTAGCTTACTGTGTAGTCCAGGCTGGCCCCAAACTAATGGCAGTTCTCCTGCCTTAGTCTCCCAAGTGCTAGTGTCATAGGGATGAGCCCCTGTCCCCCTCTCAAGAGTATTTTGGGAAAACTCTTGAGACTGTGTTTTAATGTTTTATTAATTTTTTTGTTCTCAGTAGGCCGAGCCAGAGTCAGTGACACTTCAGAACCTGGTAGCTCTGTGTCTGGCATGGTAGCAGTTCTGTTCCTATTGCTGTTCATAGAACATGTGCTGTCGGCAGGGTAGTGTCTGAGGCATTACAATGGGCCGTAGAGGTATCAGAGCTCCGAGGGCTGGACACACACAAGCAAGTAGCAAACACACCAGCATGCCATGGCCTTTCAGTATTGGTGTGTGTGCTGGCGCCCCGTCTGCTGCCCTCTGGTGGTGCCTAGCCTTCAGGTCAGGCTTTAGGACCATGCCCGTTGCCTAGGCAAGGCTGCAGAAGAGGTGTCTGCCCTGGATGCGTGGGGCAGCACTTACAAGGTTATTGGGTGGGAGCTTCCCAGAAGGTGAGTCCAGCTCCATGTCCGGACCCTGGCCCACCTGCCGGGCATGACTGTGTCACTGTGCCCTGACTGAGCCTCGCCCACAGGCTTGCCAGCTGAAGACGGAGACCATTACCTACGAGGAGAAGGAGCAGCAGCTGGTGAACGACTGTGTGAAGGAGCTGAGTATGTCTGCCCTCCCGCCTGCGCCCGCCCCCAGCCTCCCCGTTACCTCCCCGCCAGCCAGCAGCTCAGTGGCATCTTCTGAACACAGCAGGCTGCCAGCCTGTATCATGACCTTTGCCCCATTTGAGAGCCTTGCTCTCAACAAGGTGGATTTTAATTATAATGTGGACTTTGTGTTGGAATATTGGACTTATCTGATGTTCCAGGCAGGCCCAGATAAATGATTTGGTTTGGAAAAATGAAGGCCAGAATTCTCCGCTTTGCTATTCCAATCCAGGCTTTCCCCATGCCCTCTGCTATGAGTTTCCATGTAAGATAGGAGAAAGGGCGGTGGGTGAGATGAAACAACTCGCGTTCACACCTAGTAAAATGGGCTTCGTTTCCACATGCAGTGGAGAGCCATGGGGACACTGCCCTGTGCAGACTTCCGGTCACGATGTGTATCTGTCTGTGATGGGGCACTAGAGTTCAGCCAAGCACCGTCACATTTGGCCTGTCACTTCTGGCTCCCTTCCTGGCACCTGGCTGGCTGGCATTGGTCCGTAGAGTCAGCCCTTGTAGGCGGGATGGCCCCTGAGGAGGGCGCACATCATTGCTGGGAAAGATGTCCACTGTGACTCCCTTCACAGCCACCTCCCTTCCTCCCTCTGCTCTGTGTGGCTTTCCAACCCACCTGCTGGTCCTTAACCTGCCACAGGGGACGCCAATGTCCAGATTGCGAGCATCTCGGAGGAGCTGGCCAAGAAAACAGAGGACGCCGCCCGCCAGCAGGAGGAGATCACACACCTGCTGTCGCAAATCGTGGACCTACAGAAGAAGGCAAAAGCTGTAAGGCTTCCATGCAGCTGTCATACAGGGCAGGGGCCGAGCTGGATGGCGAGGGGCAGGGCAGGGGCTGGGCTGGATGGCAAAGGGCAGGGCTGTGCTGGATGGTGAGGGGCAGGGGCAGGGTCAAGCTGGATGGCGAGGGGCAGGGCAGGTCCGTGCTGGACGGGACCTGGTTACTGGAGAGGATGGCTCCCTGGTGTAGCCACGTGTGCTGTTCTGGAGGAGGCATGGTGGGCTCAGGAACTAACTCCGTCCCCCCAGAGTCACAGGGGCTTTATTTTTCATCTCCTGACCCCCAAGGATAGTCTGTAAACTAGTGGCGTTCATGGGGGAGTGCTGGGCACGTGGGGTCTCGGTTGGTCTGACAAGCCACAGAGCTGTTTGTTTGCACCTGTCAGGTGCCTGGTAGAGAATGTCCCTGCTGAGCTTCCCGTGGGGCCCTGACTAGAAGGAGGAGGTGAAACGCCTCTGGGAAGAGAAAGAAGGAAGGAAAGACAGAAAGGGGAGAGGAGGGAAGGACATGCCTCAGGAGGTGGGCATTGGGCTATGGAGGATAATTCACTTTACCTTCAGAATTGTAGGAAAGGGTGAGGTGAGGTGCCTCAGTGGTAAAGGCACCTGGTGCCCAGAGAGAGCCAGTCCTGACACTGTCCCTCACCTCCACTGCACTATAGGCAGACGCAAGCACACGAGTACACACACACACACACACACACACACACACACACACACACACACACAGCATCAGGTTTCAGTTGCAGGGTCCTCTGCACACTGGTGCCAAGTTCCTCACAGACAGGTAAGAGGAGGGAAATTGGCTCTTCCGGGTGTCCTAACAGGCATCTGGTCTTTACCATGTTTAGTGTGCGGTGGAAAATGAAGAGCTTGTCCAGCACCTGGGCGCGGCCAAGGATGCCCAGCGGCAGCTCACGGCCGAGGTGGGTACCCCGCCTCAGCTCCCTAGGGCCTGGCTTCCAGGGAAGGCCTGCGCCACAGCCCTCACAGCAAGCATTCTAACGCGGAATTGACACACTGCCAGTTTTCCTGGGTTCTGTGTTCGCCGTGAGCATGAGGAGTCTGGACTTGGTGCCAGTCCAGGGCTTAACATAGTCCAGCTCCTCACACACACCGAACAGGTGAACAGAATACACCACAGGAGCATGTAAAGAGCCTGGTCAAAGATACGGCTTGAATCCGGGCATCGTGCACATGCCTGTGATCGTAGTTAATGGGTGGCTGAGCAGGAGAAGCAAGGGTCCCCGTTAGCCTTGTACCTAGCAACGTTTATCTGGCCCACGGTGGGCCCTGGGAAAGGAAAAGGCAGCCTCATGGATCCAGCCCGCTTTGCTGGGGGCCCCGGGGGCTTCGTGGTCCCACCTCTCACACGGGAGGGCTGGTGGGTGTGTCAGCCCCGGGGCTCACTGAGGCCTTTCCCCACAGCTTCGTGAGCTGGGGGAGAAGTATGCAGAGTGCATGGAGATGCTGCACGAGGCACAGGAGGAGCTGAAGAACCTGAGGAACAAGACGATGCCCAACACCGCGTCCCGGCGCTACCACTCGCTGGGCCTGTTCCCCATGGTGAGTGCCTCCTGTGCTCTCTGACCCCAGACCACTGCCCGCCCTAGCACCACACTGCCTGTCCCTTTCTGACCACGTGGCCTGCATCTTTCCTACGATCAGCTATTTGGAGTCTGGACCTGGACCTGCCAGCTAGAGGCTTCCTAATTCCCCAAGACTCACTTAGCCCTTGGTTATCTGTTCTTCCTACCCCTGTTGTTAAGAGATGATGTTACTGGGAACTTGCCCGAGCTGGATGTCAGAGTGGCTGCTATTACTCTGTGCTATTTTGTCCCTGAAACACCGAAAGAGCCCGAGCTTCTCCGGTTCTTCGTGTGTTTAACCCTTTCCTAGCTGTCATTTAGTGTCTGGGATCTGAGTCAACTTTTTAAAAAAACAGCCCTTCCCCATGGTTTTATTTCTTTAGGCCTGGCCTGGCTTGTTTGATGTCGGGGCTTTGAAGGGCGAAGGGGGGTTTCCAGTTTAATGTCCAGTCTCTCCTCTGACATCTTGTTCTGTGAGCATGCTTGTTCTGTCTGCTGTGGGACTGTAGCGGGGGGCCGTGCATTAGTTGTGTCCCTCGGCACTGTTGGTGTCAGGGCTTGGCTGTCACCACTCTGCAGGGCCAGCTTGGTGGGTGACCGGCAGGTGGCCCGGGAACAAGTCTCCAAGAGCTCCCGCACATTTGGGCTTTGTTCCAGTGCTCTGTCAGAATAACAAGTCCTCTCTGAGGCAAAAGAGCTTTAGGTTTTTTTTTTTTTTAAAGTGGTGATTATTATTGCGTTGTGTGTGATGGTGGGAGCCGGTGTGTTGGTACATGATGCATGTGTGGAGGTCAGAGGACAGCTCTGTGGAGTCGCTTCTCTCCTTCCGCCTTCACTCCCTTGGCCACCTCGCCAGCTGGGAAGGGGCTCGGGGAGAAAGCTCTCGCAGAGATAGTCTTCTGGAACGTTTGTTTCTATTCACCGCAGACAGACAGCCCAGAGAAACAGTTCCACCCAAGTCCAGCGGAGAGCCAGTGAGTTACTGGGTAACTTAGAGGCGCATGGCTGGGGCCTTAAAACTATCACAAAAACCCCAGCCCAGCTAGGGAGGCGGCTCCGCTTCTCCCTGAGAACACTGCTGTGCAAGCCCGATCATAGAAACCACATGAAAACCTGGGTCTGGTGGTGCACGCCTGTAATCTTTGCGTCCATATTGTGACGTGGGAGGTGAAGACGGGGGAATCTGCTAGAAGTTTGCAAGCCAGCTGCTCTGGAACACCTGAGAAGTGGCAGGAACAAGAAAGGCTCAACAAGGCAGAAGGGGGGAACTGGCACCCCAAAGTTGTCCTTTGACCTTAGCGGGGCACCATGGCACGGAGGTGCCTGAACTGCGTCCCTGTGTGTATGCCCACGTACACACAATGAGTAAAAAGTGTAATTAGAAGGAAGAGAGTTAAACCGTGCCTGCTGGAAGCTTTCGTTTGCCTTTTTGAGGCTCTTGGCAAGCGTGGGTTGTAGAGATGGTAGTTCTGGGAGGGCACCATGTGTTAAAGGCGGTTGAAGCGCTCTAAAGGCTGCCTGAGTTTCTGGGGTCGAGCTCCCAGACCTGCTCCTTGCTCTGTCCATTCTAACCACCAGCAGCAGGTTTTGCTCAGCAGCGTCCCAGGTCTTTCGCCTTGTGTCAGGAGTTTTAAACCTGTGACCCGTGGACAGAATCACGGGACCCTTGTTTTTAGAAATCTTCCTCAGATTGTAGGGGTAGGTGGGGTGCGTGTGGGGCCAGAGTTCTCAGCACCCGTGGGAAGTGGGCACTCCAGGACTGGCCTTCCCTGATCCGGAGGCTCATGCCCCTCCCCTCCCGCCCAGCCTGAAAAGGGCAGCAGTGTACTAGAGAAAACTAGTAAGAACTAAGGCTTGAGAGGTGTGTGTGTAGGATGGGGTGGGGGTGGGGTCAGGAGGAGGGCTGGGCAGGGAATGTCTGCAAAGAGGGAATGTGAGGCTCCTTCTGGAAGCAACAGTCCTATTCCTGAGCACATGGCGTGGCCAGCGGCTGGGATCAGGAGCTTCCAGAGAAAGCACAGAGGGGGCAGTGTGCATGACTCGGCTCGCGCAGGCAGGGACCTCTCACCAGCAGGCAAGAGAGCCCCGGCAGCTGGTGTCCACCCAGGAGCCAGCGGTGCAAGCCTTGGCCTCCTGTGCATCATAGCCCTGAAGGGCTGGGACCGCAACCTGGTGGCCTGAGGGGTCAGAGGCTTATTGTGGCCTGTGACGCCGTGTGGGACCTTCTGGAAGCTGGGAGATATTTAGGGATACAGTTGTTCTCCCTGTCTGAGCCGCCTTGAGTTCTGCATCCCCCATTGAAGCCACATTCTTAGCTCTGTAGTTTGGCCAACTGTGTCTAGGATTGACTGGCGTCCAGACACTCAGCGACATGGGAGTTAGGGACTGTTCTGTCACACCCAAAGGCACTGTGTGCTCAGAACCAGCCTTGACCGTGGCCCGGCAGATCTCTCCGTAGAGAATGCTTTCCATTGTGTTGTGTGGCAAGAAGTCTGGCTGCTGCTGGGTCCCCTGTTTCTTCCCCCGAGGGTCCTTTGGCCCTCATACTTGGCCTCGAATGGAAGCCTTGAGTCCCTGCTCACGTGACTCCTGACTTCTCTTTCCCCAGGACTCCTTGGCCGCAGAAATTGAGGGAACTATGCGCAAGGAGCTGCAGCTGGAAGAGCCGGAGTCCCCGGACATCACGTATGGCTGCACGGTTTTTGTGGTTCATGTTCCCACAAACTGACTCGGGGCTGGCGTTGTTCCTAACCTGGCACATACGGACCTCAGAAAGCCAGCAGTGGTCCTTCCCAGTCAGGTTAAGGGAGATAAAACATGGCTGATGTGTACCTCCGCTTTTTCTCATGATGAGGCTGGAGCCGTAGCTCAGCTGCTAGAGTACTTGCCTAGTGTGTAAGAAGCCTTGAGCTCTGCCCCCAGTGCTCCCAGTGTCCCCAGTATCCCCCGCACTTCATAACCCCTGCGTGGGAAGGTGGAGGAGGGAGGCTCAGAAGGTCGAGGCATGAGTGAATCCCTGTCTCGAAAACCAAACCAGCAAGTCACTTGAACTTCCAGGGAGGTGGAAGGGTGCTGTGTTTCCCTACCCTCCGCCTGGTCCCTTAGTGGAAAGCACTGCTTTAAAAAGTTTTCATCTCTTCTAAGAGACCCATCAGTGTATCATGAGACACGGCTTCTCTGTGCTGTGAGCCAGGCCTCTGCTCCCTCTGGGTCCTGCTGGGGCCCCACCTCTGCATCTCACCTCCTAACCCCAGGTCCAGGCTTGACCCCCACCCCGGAACATTGAGAAGAAATCTGTGGACCACATTTTCTCTGTACCCAAACTCCTCAGACAGAATCTGTACGAGACTTGAGTTACAAGCATCCTGGGTGTGTGTATGGCCTGACATCCCCAGAGGAAGCAGCCGGTCCAGAAACATGCCCACCCTTTATTTTTTCCTTAAAAGGAGAAACATTCAAATCAAAGTACGGGTGCTTAGAATGGCCTTTCTAAGAATAGCTCAGTCCAGTGTTCATCATCAGTGTAAAACTTCAGGCTGACTCGTAGCTTCACCTTTTTATGTTGCATGAATGGGTACAATCCTCGCTCCGCGACGGTCCACGAGCTGAGCGCTGTACTCCTGGAGCTCGCGCTGTTCATCTGAGGGAGGCAGGCTGGCTGAGAAGGTGGGCGACGCCTCACTGCTGTTTATAGCCCAGGCGTCAGGGCCATGAGTGGCATTGGGTAGCTGAACCCGGTTCTACGCTGTGCCAGTCAGGCTTAGGTTCAGTTGGCATTGCATCTCCCTAGTCCGCGCAGTGTTGGAGACAGCCCACGCCCTGAGGAACACCTGAAGCCTCAGACGGCTGCTCGGGCTGCCGAGGGCCTGCTTGGGAGGGGCAGGTGCAGGCTCCTCCTGACACGAGTGCTCATGGCTGCCGTGTCCTCCCCAGCCACCAGAAGCGTGTCTTTGAGACTGTGAGGAACGTCAATCAGGTGGTCAAGCAGAGGTCGCTGACCCCTTCCCCCATGAACATCCCGGGCTCCAACCAGTCCTCAGCCATGAACTCGCTCCTGTCGAGCTGCGTCAGCACCCCCCGCTCCAGCTTCTACGGCAGCGATGTCAGCAACGTGGTCCTCGACAACAAGACCAACAGCATCCTCCTGGAAACCGAGGCAGCCGACCTGGGGTGAGCGGCGGCCTTCCCTCTTTGCGCTGGAGGGTGGGGAGAAGAGGTTCACCTTGAATGGGGGCGCGATCCCTGTCAGAGGGGCGGACGAGAGCTGCCTGGGGAAGGTTGACATTAGTCTCTCCCCTGGGGAGCTGGCTGAGAAGGGGGAGCTGCACAGCGGCTCGCTCACGCCCACTGAGAGCCCAGTACCCACCTCCGTAGCCCAGTTACCCACCTTAACCACAACGCTGGTCTCTGCTGAAGTTGGTACCCAAAGCATGCTTTGCCATCACATCCCGAGGGGAAGAGCTCACACCCCTCCCATGCATGGTCGGGAGCTCGGGTGCTGGGCGGGGCGGGGCGGGGCGGGGCGGACCCAGGCCGATGTGCTGTGGTGGTGTCCATTGTGCACGCTCTTTGGAGATGGCAGTTCCTCCTCACCCTAAAGTACTGTGGAACCCCGCCCCATCCCACCATCCACTCTGTGCACCCTGGCCCTCTGACTGACTAAGATGGGTGCTTAGGACCAGCTGAGCCATCCGGAGGGGTTCCCCAAGGTCAGAGCTGGTTTAACTACTCAGAGCCGAGAGCCCAGGCCCTACCATCTAAGAGGGAGAAGGGCTGCATCAGCTTCCCTCCCGTACCCAGCAGCAGCTGCTGGGAAAGTTTCTTCCAAAATGACCCAGAGGCAGATGCTAGGGAAACACATTTTTGCTTATGTGCAGATTTTCGGTCATCCTGGTACAAGCGCCTGTCTCTAAGAAAAGTGACTCAGGCACCCTGGGGAACCCCTTCAGTACCTGCTCCCCTCCTGGCTGTCCTTCTGCTCTCCTCAGCCCATCTCCTGTCTGTGCAGGAGCCTTGCCCTGGGGGTCCTCTGTGCCCTCTGCTGGCTGTCAGTGCTTACCCGCTGTCTTCCCCAGGAATGAGGAGCACAGTAAGAAGCCAGGCACACCGGGCACACCAGGCTCCCACGACCTGGAGACAGCGCTCCGGCGGCTGTCGCTGCGCCGTGAAAACTACCTGTCTGAGCGGAGGTTCTTCGAGGAAGAGCAGGAGCGGAAGCTGCGGGAGCTGGCTGAGAAGGGGGAGCTGCACAGCGGCTCGCTCACGCCCACTGAGAGCATCATGTCGCTCGGCACGCACTCGAGATTCTCCGAGTTCACCGGCTTCTCCGGCATGTCCTTCAGCAGCCGCTCCTACCTGCCTGAGAAGCTGCAGATCGTGAAACCCCTCGAAGGTGACCCCCGGGGCCCGCGGCCCCTCTCTGTCCTCCTCTGCGACTCCCTCTGGGCCCTGATTCACCACAGGAAGGCCAGCCACCACTGCCACGCCTATTCCTTTTTCTTCCGAGATAGCCACCCACGCTGTTGGTTTGAGTTCCTCTGAGGAGGTGTCTGTTTCCACACTCTCTGTTCATGTGCACGGCTTCAGACCCTCCCAGGCTGTGGCTGTTTGTCCCCACGACAGCAGACTACTTCTGGATAGCCCAGGGGTCTGAGAAGGGTGGAGAAGGAGTGCTTTGGCCTCTCAGAGACTTCACTGTCAAATAGCACAAGCGCGCTTCTGAGTCCCCACCCTCAGCCACGCGCAGGTGTCCTGTGTGCTCACAAGTTCTGATTGGTTCTTCATAGTGGGTGTGATTTTCCAGAGGTGTGGCAGAGGGAGGGGTGGAGCATTCAGAGCCCAGGAAGCCTTCCATGCAGGGCTTCACGCTTTTCTTAGTGGGTCCTGGAGAACCTCATTGTTCCCTCTCCTTTTGCTGTTCTGTGTGTTGCAAACATCTCCCTGAGTCCTACTGCCTCGTCAGGACCCATGTGTGCCAGCTTTTGCTCTCCCCACTTTAGCTGGAAGACCTGCTTTGGAACCACGTAGAATATTTTTGATGTAAAGCCAGATGTCTGCACATCTGCACTTTTCTCAGCCTCTATCCCGAGCCCTTCTAGGGAGCATCTTTGGATGCTTTAGTCTCATTACGTGGCACACTCATCGTGAGTGCCACAGATAGTTTCCACACAGGTACAAACTGTGTTCTCCGAATGAAGGAGAACAGTTGCTTTCATCTCAAGGGTCTCAGCTTGTGCTGCCTTGGAGACTGTGCCAGCCTTACTGAGCAGGCAGCTTGCAGAGCTGAGGTCACGATTATTAATCACAGGATGTGTCACATCCCTGTATTTCCAAAGAAAGAGGATGGGTTTTCTTTTCTTTTCTTCCCTTTCTTCCTTCCTTTCTTTCTTTTTCATTTTAATAATTATGAGTTTTGTAATGTAGGCCCTTGCTAGCTCTCGAGGGGATGGCTGACTCCTTTTCAATTGTTTATTCAGTTGTAATATTGGTGATTGTTTTCTGACCTGCAATTATGTCTGGTTTTCTTTCAATAAAACCTTCCATTTCTGCAATTTTATTTTCGCCTTTCTTTTCTTTTCTTCTGTTGTCTTTCAAAGATCATTAGACATTTATCATCTCTCTCTGCTTTCCATACTTTACTGTGTTTCATTGGCTCACCTATGATTGTTTGGTGTTTGTTTTCCAAGCAAATTGGAGGATGAGATTTTGAAAATTTATTTTGACCAATTCATCTTTATTTATTCTAACTTTGAGTCTTGGGTGGTAGTAATTTTATGGCAAGAGCAAGAAGAAACCCTACTCACTTGTAAGGTGAGTTTTGCCCGTGGCACCCTGTTCTCCAACAAGCTGAACTACCATCACTAAGAAGCTGTGTCTTAATCACTGTGGCTTGTAACACACTGTGATAAGAACCCTCTGGCTTCATTTTGTGTTCCTCAGACTTCTTTCTTCGCTGTGTAAAAGACAGCTGATATTTCCTTTCTTCCTGTCCCTCCACAGTCAATGTCACACTGTGTGTGAGAGGGAATGTTAGCATAGCCATCTTTGGTTACAGCTTCCAAACACGGCCGTTGTGTTGGGAGAGTTGGCTCTTCTCTCCAGCCATCTCCCTTCTTGGTAACACAGGCAAATAGCTGTCAAACAAGATTATCAGACTTGCCCCTGCTCAGTCACCGGGTGTAAAGAGCACAGTTTCTGCTGTTGAGACCTGGGCTGTCATTACACCGGGGTCATGTTCTCACATAATTGCTGTTGGCCCCCTGAGACACTGCTGATCTCAGGTAAAGGCACCTGGGGTGAGGTCCCTGGAGACCGTTGTCTGGGAGCACAGCAGAAGCCAGTCATTGCCCTCCATCTGTGCCCTCCATCTCTCTCCCGTTCTGAACATCTTGCCATCTCCTAGTGTGTCAGCCAGAGTAGCGGAGCCAGGCCTGACGTTTGCTCTCATCTCTTCTCCTGGCCTTCCGGGGTTTAAGGAGGTAAAGAACAGACTAGTCAGGACAGAGACAGACGTCTGTCTTAAAAAGACTGAGGCAGGCTGTGGTCCTGTGTTCTGCCTGTCAGCCTGCTCGTATGTGGTGGGAGGGTTGTGGTGGCCTTAGGTGGGGTCAGTAGTGAGAAGTGGCCAATAACACACTACTGCTCCCGCTTCCCGCTAGACAGGGAGAAGCCGGGTTGGAGAGTGAGACAGAAAAAGGAGAGGGAGAGGCACCTGTGCTCAGCTCTGATGAGGTGCGCCTCACAGTCTAGCCCGCCAGGAGATGGTAGAATTCCTACTTCCTGGCTTAGGGCCTGGGAGTGGCAGGGTGGGGAGTGAGAGGGTTCCACTCACTGGGTGCTGGGCTCCTGAATACCTGGAGCCTCAGAACCAGGCAGGAGGAGAAATGTTAAAATCACAGGTAAGGCCATGACAGCTTTCAGGCCTGTGGAATTGCGAACACTGTTCAGTGAGCACAGCCATCATCTGGGCTTGCTATTGGCTGGATTCGTGAGGCTCACCCATGGGAGCCATGTTCTCTGCTGGGACCTTCAGGGAATGGATGCCAGAGGTGGCCTTAATTAGAATCCCAGATGGGACCTATGCTATTTAATGCAAACTCTGGAGTGTCTGTCTTTCCCCACACTCCATGTCTTTATCTGCGAAATGGAGACAACAGGGTGACCCTGAAAACCTAGGAGTTAGGCTAGCAGAATTCCCCCCACTGTAAGAGCCTGATGAAATGGCACCCTGACATGGGGGTGTCCAGGTTGGCCTTGGTGATGGCTTGCGTAAGCTCCTCCCTGGGACCTTCTGTGAGAAAGCACATGGGCTGTGTGATCAGGACCAGCAAAAGTGGCATACGCACCAACAGTGCACACGTCGAATCTGGCCATCCTGCGGGGCCCTAGACATCGGCCGGATGTGGGTCAGTGAGACCATCTACACAGCCGTGGCCAGCCCCTGCTGCCCACTGAGCTCACGTCAGGGACCTTCCGGGCCTCCTTCCCAGTTTGTGCAAGGGAGACTCCCTGCTGGGAAGCTGGAGAAGTGTCACTGTGGCTGTGTGTAGACTGCTCTGAGCTTTGACTGGACTGTGGCGCTCAGGCCGCCGTCATTTCAAATGCCAGGAAGCAGGTGCAGGGGTGGAGCCCCGCCCTTCATTAGCAGGTGGGCAGTGGAGATGACAGTGGGTAGCCCACCAGAGAGCTGCCTGCTGCTCATCCCCCAGCCTGCAGATGACACAGGGAGGGAGGCAGACGCAGCCAGTGCTGCCAGACCTTAGCCTTGCCCCTCCAGCCAGGGACTCGCCTCTGGGTTTCACCGTGCTGGTGCGTCTCCCTGTGGCTTTTGAATTCCCGTTTGGATTGCACCTAGTCAGAGAAGTCTTAGCAATGTGTGTACAGGGCTACTCAAATGCACCCTGCGGGTAACGCTGCAATATTAGAATGTGGCTCTCCCCAGCATGGGGAGGCAGAGGCGGGCGGACCTCTGAGCCGGAGGCCAGCCTGGTCTACACAGAGAGCGCTAGGACAGCCAGGGCTACACAGAGAAACCCTGGCTTAAAAACTAAAAGGTGTGGTTTATAGTATAGACTAAGGGCTTCTGTCTGTTCCTCCCACTCTCTGCCAAGAGCTTGTATGGCCATCACAGAAGCACATGTGATTTACACATGCACACAAACAGGCTGTGTCTGACATGGGTCAGCTTTGTGAAGCTTGATGTGTGGCACCTTGGAGCTCAGGATCCCACGAAGCCCTGCATGTCCCTGGCACACACATTTCCCTTCGTGGCTTCCCTTAGATTCTCAGTAGACAGGAGCCTTAGGATGTTTTCAGATCTCAGCACCAGGGGCCTTGGGAGCTGAGCCCTCCGCCTGTGGGGAGTGTGAGCACATGGAGCCTTTGATCCACCCCTGGCCTCTGCCGCTCGATGCAGTGAGTGCCCTTGATCAGTCGTGATCTCAAACCTCTCTGTTTTGTCCCAAGTTGAGGACTTCTGCTGTGAAGGACATCATGGGTACAGCTTTTTAAACGTCTTCGTTGTTTTATTGTTGTTCCTTTTGCATGGAGTCCTTTTTACTCCATTCAGTAGCCCCAGCCTATAAGGAGGATGTGATGCATATCCTTAAAACTGGTTTGGACCTTGAAGGGGTGTTGAGGGTGCTAGTTTCAAGATGTGTTCATTTCTTCTTTTTTAATTTTAAGTGGAATTGAAATAGTCCATTTTCAGAATCTTTCTAAGACTTCCATGGCACGTGTCTGGCTGGGGCTGGCCCCCGCCCACCCCAGCCAACCTCCTGTCTCTCCTCCCAGCTTAGGAGACAGATGGCTGCTGGCATCTTCCATGCCCTTTCCTCGGTCCTGCTCTCGGGGATTTGCTAAGCCAGCAAGCAGCCTTGGGTGCTGCTAGCCACAGTGCCTCTGTCTGGAGCACGAGGCCCAGCTGTTTGTGGCCATGTACATTGCAGTGACTTCTTTGTAGAACAGGGCTGGGAATTCCAGCCTCCTGGGCCTTCTGCCAGATGCTGGCACCCTGCAGGGTATGACAGGTGCCAGGGGCTGGGCAGAAATGTGGAGCCCAGCAGCAGGCTCACTGAGGTGCCGCTTCGCTTCTCAGCACCCGGGCTCTCAGACACTGCTGGCCCCTGGGCACCTCTCTTGGTAGAGCACCCAGGACACCTGAGGTCATCAGGGACACAGTCTGGTGATATTACAAACCGGGGCTGACACCTGAGCCCCGGGATCCGGTGTCTCCTTGGAGATGGCTCCTCTGCTCAGGCGCCTGTGACTTCTTTCCTCATGTCCCCTCCTCACCTCGTGGTTCCTCCACTCTCCTAACGTAGCTCCCATGTGCGGGTGGCTCTGGTGTGGGGGTTGGCAGGCTTGTCCAGAGCATCCTGTGGCTTCGTGGTCCCTCGTCGTTCTCATGCTGTTTTTAGAAGCTTCCTGTGACTGTTGACCACCCTCTTCTGTCAGCACAATGATGGGTTAAGTTTGGGGCTTGGCGCTGGGTGGTTTGAGATGCTTTGTTACCGGACATCGTGGGCACACGGCACGTAGCGTGATTTTCCTTTTGAAAGTGTTGGTTCTTTACAGTGTCCCTCCCCTGGTGTGGCAGGACACACTGCTGTCCATTCCCTCCCAAGCTCAGCCTCGCACGGAGCCTCTGACGGTGGGACACATTGGCCCTGGCTGGCGTCCTAACCCTCCCTTCTCCCCTCTCTGTTCTCCCACAAGGTTCGGCCACACTTCACCACTGGCAGCAACTGGCCCAGCCTCATCTTGGGGGCATCCTGGACCCCCGTCCTGGTGTGGTCACCAAGGGCTTCCGGACTCTGGACGTTGACCTGGAAGAAGTGTACTGCCTTAACGACTTTGAGGAAGACGACACAGGTGACCACATTTCTCTCATGGGCCTAGCTACCTCCACGCCAGTTCAGCACCTGGGAACCTCAGGTGAGAGGTCCCGAGCACGTGTGGCTGTCTCAGGCACCAGAAGTCACCCCAGCCAGCCTCAGGCTGCCCCAGAGGAGATGCAGAGGCCACCAGCGCCAGCGGGCCTGGAGGACGAGGAGGAGGGGTCTGGTGAGGGCGCCTCAATTAGTCCTGTAAACCTGACACCTCCACAGGAGGCAGAGTTGTGGGCCTTGCTCACCTCTGTTCCTGGCACCACCCGTAGTAACTCCATGTCTGTAGCTTCCGCTCGTCTGTGTGGGTGACAGAACGCCTTCCCCTTGTCACACTCTGTTTTAAAAGCAGAGCGACTCCTCCGCCATCATGGAGTGGGAGCAGGAGAGGCTGCTAAAAAATGGGTTACGGGCCTGAGAGCAGGCACGCCCGGCTGTTACGGCCATCCTGCCCTGATCTGAGGGGCCGGGTCCCATGCCCTCTTTGGGTTTCCTAACTGAGCGAGCGGACAATTTTAGGGAAATGGTGACGAGTGAGAGGCCGTAGGATTTGTGAAAATCAGACAGAAGGGCAGGGAGTGGTGGCTTGGCTTAACGTCAGTGTGGGAAGGGGCGCGTGCAGTTTTCATGTATTCAGAATGGATCCTAAGAAGTGTTTAGTGACACTAACCCAGAGGAGGCTAGGGGCTCCAGGTAGTCCCCATCCCACCGCCAGGTCAGCCACGTGACCACTCGTGGGGACCTTGAGCCTCTGTGCTGGGATGGAAAGTTTGTGCTCAGGGCTCCTGGAACCTCTGAGAGTTACATGGTCACTGTCTGTCTTGGACATCCCAGCTCCTTGTGCTGAGAAGACAAGGAACTTAGGGTGAAAGAGGAACAAAGAATGACCCCTGGGCTGTCAGCCTCATGGCACCCCAGGTCACTAGACGCAAAGAGAGGATATTCCTCGTTCTGCCTTACAACTTTTAGAGGCCATGACACCTGCCATGACATCCAAGGAGGGACAGAGCCAGGCTTCAGTGTGTCTGATGTCCCCAGGTTAACTGAAGGGCTTGGCCTGGTCCAACTCTTTCTTTTAATGTCAACTTTAAAGGTGTCATCACAAAATTTATGTTTAAAGTTTTTAAAGTAAGTTACCAAGTGAAGGTGCAGAGGAAATGAGAAGGTTATCCTGTGAGAGCCACACACTCAGGCTGCTGGGGTCTGCTTATAATCCAGGGAGCTGAGGCAGGAGGATCTAAAGTTCAAGGTCAGGCTGGACTATAACTGAAAACAAAAGGACAGGACAGCAAGCTGCAACTGTTACTCGCCCTTTGTTATCAACCCTTTGTTATCAACGCTGGGTCTCCTCTGAAGGCGGTCATACCAGTGTCTGGCTGACTCGCCTAATGACCCCACCCCTGGCTGAACCTTGACTTGAAGAGAGCCAGATACACACAGAGCAGAAACTGTAGAAGAATCAGGCTCATTGATCAGGCTGCTGGGGCTCATTCAGAAGGGACCCCCACGGAGGGGAGAGCTCCAGAGAGCTTGGGTCCCAGGGTTGGGGGGTGGAGGGAAGCTCTTCTATGATGCACCATGCAGAGGGAAGGTATGCAGAGCACGTGGCTTTTTCTCCACAATGACACAACCGTTCTGCTCCCAGGAGGAGGGCATGATTCTGCCAGCCTGAGCCACGCTGGGTACCCCAAATGTTCCTTGTGCACAGTTGGGGCATCAGTCGCCATGGGAAGGCCTGGAGCTCCACAGTCTTGGGATTTAGGTCCCACTGGCCTGGGCCTTTCTGGTCTAGCCTGGCATGTGAGCTGGCAGGAGGGTGATCAGAAGGCAGCTGACCATGTGGCTCCCAACTGCTGCTGAGCAGAGGTGAAGTGTGGAAGCCGCACCATGTAGACGGTTTTATTAATATATTTTAATGTGTCTTCAGAAGCAGCATTTGATTTTTTTAATCCCACGTCTTAAGGATGGTTCCATGTTGTTGTGTTGTAAATAATCTAGAAGATTAAAATGGACTGTTGAAAACTTTTAGGTCATAGTTTTACTTCATTTTAATGACTGCTTATGTTCTGAGTTTATACAGAAAGCGCTTTTTTCAGAATGCTCATCACCTGGCCAGGACTCTTTTAGTTGATGGTTGAGGACAGCCTGCTTTTGGGAAAGGGCTCATTAAGCCCAGTTGGTAGCTGGTTGGGTAGAGTGTGCCATGGGATTTAGCTCAGTTAAATTCTCCTAAAGATTCACTCACAGGGGAGGAAAAGACGGATTAAAGCAGCACCAGAGATGAATCGGAGGTGCCTTCACCTGTCACACGGGACGGTCTTGCCCGGAGGCTGCCCTGCAGACCCTGTGCTCCTGTACTGTACAGGCTCACAACTGGGCCCCAAGATCCTGGCATCAGCGCGCACCGTGAGGACCACGCTCACTGCAGACAGACCTGAATCCCATCTACATCTTAAGCCCTAGGACTGCCCGAGGCTGAAGCCAGGAAATAGCTTTTTGCCACTTCTGTATCCAAAATTCAGATCCAAGTTGTGCTCAGGACCATTTGTGGAGTTAAGGAATATAAAGAATAGCCCAGCGTAAAAGAGTCTGGCCAGTGCCGCATAGCTTCTGCTCGCTCAGCCACAGGGCGGGTGCCTTGAGGGAGCCCTCCTCCCTTCTCTGCTGCACTCCATCCGCCCATCCACAGGAGAGGGTCCAGACAGGCTTGTGAGAAGGAACTGGCCTAGTGACCCTGTGGGTCTGGGTGGGGAGGCGTCCGTTGGTTCATGGACCTGGAAGCCCTGGCAGAGGGCAGTCCCTCCCCTGTGCTGCATGGCATGGGGACATTTTCCCATCTCACATAGTGAAGGGTCCGCTCTCAGCTGCCTGGGTCAGGTCATGCTAAGAAAGTCCGAGGGCTTCTTCTAAGAGCATTGGGTGAACTGAGAACAGGCCAGCTGCAGCCGGAAGGAGAGCCGTGGAGCAAGTGGAAGAGCTGCTTCCTCAGAAGCAGACAGTGGAGGCTCTGCTGACCATGGAAGCCTTCTCTTTGGCGTGCTCACCCCATGCCGCAGGGTCCATGTGTCCCTCCCGTGTGGACAGGCCTTTAAGGGCACTCAGGTATTCAGACAAGGACTGGGAGACCCACGCAGGCAGGATCCCCACTAGCCGCTCTGTCAGTCCCAGAAGGTAATCAGCCAGTGGTGTGGAATTTGGCCTTGTTGGAGGAAAAAGATCCAGAGAGAGTTTTGCGTTTACTTCTTTGAGAGTTTTCTTTCCTCCAGAGGCTTCTGCAAAGGCGCTCAGCAGCTTCCTGCCCCTCTGCAGGTGCTGTGAAGTGGTTCTTCTAATTCATATATGTTTTTGTGGTGAAACTGACAGCAGTTTGCTGTGGTGAGAATAGAATTTTTAAGTTCATAGGAACTAAATATCAGTTGTACAGATCCAGAAGATCTTATGATTCTGTTCAGCTCCATAATGGAGCCTTCCAGAAAACCTATCAAACTGAGGTCCACCGTCAGGGAGCCAGAGGCCTTCATAGAGCCTCAGGACCAGGTAGGGCCGTGTCAAAGAAATGCTCAGGAAGAGAGTAAAGCGGGTACCAAGGGAAGCCAAGAGCTGAGAACTCGGGAAGTTTTGCCAATGACATATCACAATTAATGGTGTAGAGCCGCTTTTATCGCAGGGCGGGGCGGACATCTGCCATCCCAGCACTCAGGTGGCTGGGACGGGATTGTGAATTCAAAGGCTAGCCTGAGCTACATAACAAGACTGTGTGTCAAAAAGCTCTGCAGGGTCCCTTTTGAAAGCAGTGCGACAGTGTCGGTGTGCTGAGGAAAGCACATCCTTCCCCGAGTGAATGACCACGGCTGCTGGCTCATGGGCTTACAGAGCTCTCTAAACGTCACCTTTCAAGGCACTGCTACATTATTTTACGTTCTGTGCCTGACGTTTGTCCTTTTGGGAAGAATTCTAAAACATTGCTTCCGCTTCGTTCTGGTTCATGAACATGAATCTCACGTAGTTGGGAGGCAGGGCGGCCCCGGTGCCTGGGCAGGGCAGACCATCTGGGCATTCTCAAAAACAGAGAAGAACCTGCTCATGCGCTGTGGCTCCCTGCAAACCAGGGAGCTGAAGACGGCAGGTTTGCTTTGCTGGATAGGAAAGGTTGCCCCTGGGTACCGCTGGTGTACATGGCGGGTCCCAGTCACGACAGCGGCTTCACATCTACAAGGTCAAGCCCAGAAAGAGGGGTATGCTTCTTTCACCCCAGTTCCCTACTTCCCAGAGTATAGAAGGCACTCTGCCCTGTGAGGATGACGTCCCTTTGTCAAGATTTTCAGATACATTTGAAAGAACATTGACAGTTTTGGATTATTTATGTGATTTTTAAGACATGACTTGGGCTGAAGCTGTGGTTCTGTGGGTGGAGCACCTCTTTAATGTGCATGAAGCCCCAGGTTCCCTGGTGTACCCCTGCAGTCTCAGCACTCGGGAGGGACAGGCTGGAGGATCAGAAGTTCAAGGTCATCCTTGGCTGCACAGTGAGCTAGGCAGCTTGGGACACCGCCCCTACCTCAAAGCAAGATATAGCTTGAGAGTGTGTCAGGACCAGTGTTTCCCCGTCCTTAGAGGTCTCTGAAATAGCCTGGGTTTGGGTCAGATCTCAAGACCCCAGTTGCAGCCAAGGGCTTCAGTGCCTCCATGGCTCCTTGAGGGTTCCCTAAGGACTGGCTTCTAGGATGCCTCAGAGAGGAAAATGCTTACTCAGCATGCTGTCAGCATGCCTCTCCCCAGAGGACCGAGAAAAGGAATGGCTGAATGGAACCTGTGTCCAGTGCAGCTGTCCAGTCGGCAGCATCCTGTGACCTTTCAATCTCTGCAGGCCCCTGAGCTCAGCTGAGCAGCCCCACCCACCATGCTGCTTTCCTCTCAGTGACAGTCCTGGGAGGCGGCAGCAGCCTCCCTGGTTTATGTAGCTCAGCCCCTAACTCTGTTGGAGACTCAGGGATGTGCCAGGGATGACAGCCACCGTGGGGCCCAGGTGCCTCCAGGCGGAAGCAATGCAGGCTGCATCAGCAAGCCAGGAGCAGAGTGGGCCTCAGCCTGCCCACACCCTCCAGCACAGCTGGGTAAGGGGCGTGTGCCTGTGGCACACTGGTCAGCTGTGGGTCCCTGTAGATCTCTGATGACCAAGGGTGAGTTGACTTTAAAGCTCGCCAGTGCTTATGTCCGTGTCAAAACCTGTAGACAAAGAACTAAACGTCAGGATCGGGGCTGTTAAAGAGAAATCCGGTTCTCTGTGAAAAGATCAACACTCCTGGTGGTCAGCTGACCAAGCAGGGTTAGCGCAGGAGCACTGGAGGTGCCTGTCTTGCCCAGTTCCTAACGGTGACCTTGAACCTGCTTGACACGTGCTGCTCAGCCTCATGCTGTGGTCAGGTATGTCTGTCTGTGCCTCACCATGCTGGAGGCCCACAGTCAGGCCGAGGTGAGTCAGGACTTCATCAGGAGGTTGCAGTGGTTGTTCCAAGGAACGCCATCTTTTGCACCCTCAGAACGAAGCCTGGGAGATAAACAGTTTGAACTTGCCCTTGTGCTGGGCTTTGTGCTTCGGTGTGCGGCGTGGGCCTGGTGACTCCGGTGTTGAACTCAAGACCCAGCTCTGCCAGGCGTGTTCTCTTCTCTTCCAGAGCTGTGGCTCTGGGCCCTTCCCGGGGAAACTCACTGTCTCTGTTGTGTCCCAAGGAAGGGAGGCGCAGCTGCGTCCCGGCAGCCCATGGTGACCCCGAGAGGCCGAGCTCGCAGACGTCCCAGTGGTACTGTGGAGGGGCCGCATCTCAGCTTTGGCTCTTCAGACAATCAGTCCCCTTGGTCTTCAAAGCTGTCCATTGCTCCTGGGGAGTGGGCGTGTAAATTTTTAGCAGCCTTTTCTTATCTCCCAAACCCATTTGGAGGTGATGGGTTTACTTCCGATGATTCACCTCCGTCTCTAGAATGACCTTCTCCCAGACTGCACACCTAATGGGCTGGGAGGGGCAGCCACACATCGTGGCCACGACCTCAAGCGGGCTGCACATCAAACCTTAATCCTGTCTCGTTGGATTCTTGTTTGACTGCCACCCGCTTCTACCATTGAGCCTTAGTGATCTGTCAACTCCTTTTCCTCTCTGCCTTTCCCAAATAACCCTCCTCTTGGGCTTCCTGTTGGTCTTTCTCCTGGACGTTGTCACCTTCCAAGACTTGTGATTGTTTGGTCGCCTTCTCTCCATAGCTTGATCCATCTTTTGTTGGCTCTCTCGGCCCTTTCTCAGTTACGACCTCAGGACCCACCGTAGCAATAAAGCCGGGGGTCAGAGGCGCTTTCTGTGTCTCATTGCTGTGTGTCACTGTGCCTCCGGCTAAGCCTCCTCCTGGTCCTGTGCTGGCTGCTGCCCAGGTGTCATGGGTGGAACACAGCTGGCTGGCCCTGGTGTCCCAGGCCGTCTGGGACAGAGCTGGGTGGTGCTGCCCACAGACACACTGCCTTCGAGCTGCCTCCTGCCACCTTCACTGGTTTGTGCTCTGCTTTGTGCCCCTGCTTTTGATCTGTGTCTCCAGCATACCCCGACTCGTCCTTTTTTTTTTTTCTCTTTTTTTCTGCTTCATTTGGTTTCTAGTTTTCATTTAAGACATAGCCAGAATTTTTTTTTTTTTTTTCCTTTTCAAACGACCAAGAGAAAATGTACCACGGGAGGATTCTCATTGAATCTTCATGGCCGTTGAGTCTCTTGGCCTCTGAGTCTGGAGTCTTTCCCCAGGGGCTGAGCGATGCAGGGCTGCAGGCTGGGGCACGTCCAGGACTCCGTCATGCGTGTGTTTGATGCACACACCCCACATTTGTTTTTCTCCCCCCCCCCCCATGCTCAAGTTATGAGTTAGGACGACCCTGGCAGTCATGACGTCTTAGATTCTCAGTCCCTCGCTGGCTCTCTGGTGCATGGTCCTAACGCTCCTGTGATTTGCTTTGCTCCATCCTGTCCTCAGCCGCCCTAACAACAGCAGTCTCGGAGCATTCAAAGGAGGCCATGTTGTCTCAGGTCGAGCAAGAACGGGTGTCGTAGAGATGGTGGGAGAGACAGCTGCAGAGTGTGGGAGGGGCTGGGGGGCTGACCAGACTGGCTCCTAGAACTCCCGTGCGCTGTTGGGGCCGCTGAGGACACCCCCACCCTGACCATCGCTGTGGACAGTAGTGGAACCAGCTTCCCTGAGCCCCTTTGCTGTGAATAGAAGAGGGGGCCGTGTGAACTTTGCCCTGCTTCCAGGAACCATGCGCCTCTCCTGCCCGCTCCACCTCTTCCCCTGGGCAGACATTGGTGCTTGCTTGCCAGTGTAAAGAAATACACAGTAGTCGTGCGGGAAGAAAGCAGATCTGAGCTCCGAGGAAAACTAAAGTTACCCATGAAGGCCTCTTGGCCCTCCCTGTTCCCGGGAACTGGGTCCACTACTAGCCCAAGAACTCCGATGGGGAGCCCTGTCCGGATTGGGCTGGAAGCTGGGATTTGATGCTCTGCAGACCGGTGCTCAAAAGCATGGTTGTTTTTGAGGGGCCACCTCCAGCCAGAACATCGGTACCTCAGCCTCCTTGCCCAGATAATCCGACGGGGTCGCCCTCACCGCTCATGGCAGCGGAGGGTCCTGCTGGGTTTCTCCTCCGTCGTACTTTACCCAGATGCCAGGAATGAGTCTGTTCTTCTCCTCCTCCAGCGCACCACCCTGGGAAGTGCATGTCACAGACCAACTCCACCTTCACCTTCACCACCTGCCGCATCCTGCACCCTTCAGATGAGCTCACTCGGGTCACGCCAAGGTAAGAGGCCCTGGCCCTGGGGTGGGTGGAAACGGGAATGTCGTTTCTCACAAGGAAGGTCTGATCAAAGTCAGGGGGTCATCGAAGGCCAACCCCAAGCCGGGTGTGGTGGCGCTCACCTCTAATCCCAGGATTTGGGAAACAGAGGCAGCTGGATCTCAAGAGTTCAAGGCCAGCCTGGTCAATGTGCTGAGTTCCAGGAGAGCCAGAGGTAGCCTAGCCTGTGTGGTGAGGTCCTGGCCAGAGAGACTGTTCCCGTCTCAAATGCCAGGTAGATGGAGCCTAAGGAAAAATACCTAAGGTTGACCTCTGCCATCTGCAAACACACAGGCACTCCTGCGCCCACACCTGTGCGTGCGCTCCTGTGCACGCGCACACACAGCCAAATGCTTAAGAGTCTTATGGATGTTTGTAGCCACCTATTCTGTCTGTCTTTCTGAACCTTGTTTGTTCAGATTCAGGGTCGGCAGGGGCCTGGAAAACCTGCTTTCGCCGCCCTCTGGGCGGCTGTAGTGTGGATTCTCTCTCACCTGGCCGAGGCCAGCATCTCCCCGGGCCCTGGGGCTGGGTCGGCGGGATTGCAATGGAGCGTGGAGCTCTTTCACGGTAGAGTGAGTGAGCTCTGTAGAAGCCTTTACCTCCCTGGAGCCAGCTCGGGGACCACACGTCACAGCCAGACTCTAATGGCCAGTGTGAAAAGGCTCTTTGGCAGAGCCACACGCACACGGTGGCTCACTTCCCTCTGGTGACCATCTGGAGAGCTGCTGGTCTGTTTGGCTTCCCTTCCCACCTTCCCACACAGAAGAGTGACACACACACACCGCCACGCACACACACCACTTTCTTTGTGACAAGGTCAAGTAAGATCCCAGAGTTGATGGATGGAGTCAGGGAGGGAGGGGAGAAGGGCCAGCTCAAGGGGAGCAGCCACCCCAGGGAGCACCTTACACTGAATAATTCTCCACAGGTCTGGTGAGGATGGCGACGAAGAGCTGAGAGGAGATGTAGGGCAGAGAGTCTGAGCCCACGGGCAAGGCAGGGGGTGAGCGCACGGCCAACGGAGCCTGCTCCTGCAGGGCCACGCCGGTGGGGCTGTGTGTGCGACGGTGGCTGCCACTAACTCGGGGACGGAGGCTTTGAGGTTTCTCTGTGCTGTGCCTGGTTAACGTGGCCTTGACCATGTCTAACCCAGCTAAACCCCAGACCAGCCGAGTGTCAGCACTAATGAAGGTCTAACCAAGGGTCTCACCCAGCGGGATCCCTGGATTTCTGCTTTGTTCTATGCCTTGCCGCCCCAGGAGATGCTGATTTCCAGGCCATGACTTTGTTGAGAAGAGGTTGTTTTAAAGCCACAGAGCACTCATGTCCCTTGTGAGGCTAAGTGGCTAAATGCGTGTTTTTGGCTGAAGCCACAGGCCACAGATGGCCTCCTAGTGTGTCCTCCCTCAGAAATCCGACGTGGCCATGGTGGGAACCAGGAAAGCCTTAGAAGTGAGGAGTAGGTGGTCTGTCTTGACGGAATTGGGAAGAAAACAAAAAATTCAACAAAACGGCAGACCTTTGCAGGGATGCCACACCAGTAACCCTGCAGGTCTAGAACAGCCTCACCTTCCAGCAACTGTCAGCGTTTACGGAACCCTTCCCTGCAAGCCCCGCCTTCTCGCCCCAGGAGCTGCTGTGGTCCCTCCCAACGCCGTGCCGTCTCCCCATCCTGATTTCTGTGACAATAGCTGTTCTGTGGTTCCCACCCTGTGTCCAGCAGCCACGGGAGAGGCCACCTAAATGTGGAGCTGCATGGCGCCTTTAGCCATGGGGGGAGGGCTTCTCATCATTCCCAGCACCTTCTCCGGAATGTGTTTCCCCGTCCTTCCAGCTGGCACCTGCCTGGGCCTCCCCTGAGCAGCCTGGGGACAGGTTTCTGTGACTAAGTCCTGGAGACCGCCCAGCTGGCCTGCCTCGAGGGAAGCTGACGTCTGGAGCTGGCAGCCACTGCCGTGGGGCCCGTGAGGCGGCAGCAGTAGGTTCTCCTTGGTCCTCTGCCCTCTCAGAAGTGGGGCAGAGCTCCCTGAAAGGCAGCTTTGTGAACACAGCGTGCTGCTGCCCCCGGCTGCCTGGACCACGGTGCTGGGACTCATGGGTCTCCATCAGCAGGCCATGGCGGACGCCAGTCCTCCTGTCCTTCGGGTGTCAGACACGCCGTGGGCTTTAACTTCACAAATCCTAGGCAGACTGGTCATGTCAGAGGAGCCTCCTTCCTCTGCCCACCCTATCCCAAGTTGTTCGGGCACCGGGAAAAGGGAGCTAGAACATCAAGGGCTGAGTGCTAGGTGGTGACCATTTTTGCTGCTCCTACAAGCTCATATTCAGAGCCTTGGTATCCATTTTTACTCGGGAAGGTCAAGGTTTGGAAAAAGAACTGTTTTGTGTAATTTGGTTGTTAATGGTTCTGCCCTGACAGTGGTGGGGCCCCTTCATGTGTGAGTTCAAACCCAGAAGAGTCCACTCACTAGCCATGTGTGACATTGAGTAAGCCAGCTGACCTTAGAGCCTGCTTTTTTCACACACAAGGAGGTAGCTCTCTGCACCTGCCGGGGCTGGGCAAAGGGCCACGTGCAGCTTCTGTTAACCCTGGAAATGAGGAGCAGATGCAGACAGAGCCACCTGGGGGCAAGCTAAGGTGTCCTCTCCCACCCCACGTTCCTCCTGCACGCCCTGCAGGAGGCTGGGCCACTCATCCTCCAAAGATGTCTTTCTGATGAGTAACCATCCCCTCTTTTCTTTCAGCCTTAACTCGGCCCCGGCTCCAGCTTGTAGCAGCTCCAGCCACCTGAAATCCACACCAGTGGCCACACCGTGCACCCCCCGGAGACTGAGCCTGGCTGAGTCCTTCACGAACGTCCGAGAGTCCACAACCACCATGAGCACGTCCCTGGGGCTCGTGTGGCTGCTGAAGGAGTGGGGTATCTCGGCAGCTGTGTATGACCCCCAGAGTTGGGATAGGGCCGGCAGGGACTCCCTCCTCCACTCCTATGCCCCTAGGATGGCCGTGATCCCATCCACGCCCCCAAACTCCCCTCTGCAGACGCCTGTGGCCTCCCCACCCTCCGTAGAATTCACATGCACGAGCCCTCCCTACAGCAACTTCCTGGCCTCCAAGCCTGCAAGCTCCATCCTGAGGGAGGTGAGGGAAAAGAAGCGCGTGCGGAGCAGCGAGAGCCAGACAGACGTGTCCGTCTCCAACCTCAACCTTGTGGACAAAGTCAGGAGGTTCGGGGTGGCCAGAGCAGTGAACTCAGGGCGAGCCCACATCCCCACCTTGACTGAGGACCAGCCCACCCTGTGTGGAGCCACAGGGCCTGCACAGGCTCTCGTTCCTGGGGGCCCGCTCCCTGAGGGCCTGACTCTGGGGTGCCCCAGTGGCATCCGGCGGAACCGCAGCTTCCCCACCATGGTGGGGTCCAGCGTGCAGATGAGGGCCCCCGTCATCCTCACCTCAGGCATCTTGATGGGTGCTAAGGTCCCCAAGCAGAGCAGCTTGCGGTGAGGCCAGGGTCCTGCCTCCAGATCGGCGTCTCCTGTCTGCTCCCTGCTTCCTGTGCCCTCGAGGACTGCTCCTGAGTTAGATCAACCTTGTGCCTCGTGGGGAGAGTGGGACTCCATGCAGTGTGTTCACAGGACGTGGGGACAGTGCGTCTGCTCTTCTCCAGTCCACAGGAAGCGACACCCTGCAAAGCTGCCCTCCCGTGCGGATGCGCCTGAGCTCACGGGGAAGGTGGTGTCCTTCCTTCCTTCCTTCCTTTTAAGAAGCACTGAGATTCCCAAGGCTGTTCCTATCCCATGGATAGGGATCTGGTGAATTCTGCGGGCAGCCAGCAGAGCTCCTGGCCGGCAGGGAGCTGTTCTCTCTGTTGTCGGTGGCATCACGCTCTGCGCCGCACTGCCCCGATGGACTGTCCGTCCTTCTCTCCGTGTCTCCGACTTGAAGTCACCCGGGGTTTGTCATCAGCTGCCGGGCACAGAGCCTGGCCTGAAAGAATGTATCTACACTCCAATGCGCCACCAGGCAGCCCCTCTGCGTTCGGTGTGATTGATTTTTTTACATTTTTAAACATTTTGTTTGCAGGGAAGTCTCAGTGCTGGCACTTTTTCATGATGTTCTATGACACTGAAATGCAAATGGCGCACACACTAATTTGCTAATGATATAGCTCATTTCTGGGAACCAGAGTCACAGCTGGGTTGATGTCTGACAGTTATCCCTGTAAGGATAGGATCAAGGGGAAAGGGGACAAGATCGTTAAATCCGTACGCAGTGGAGGGGAGGAGCCGAGGCCGCCAGGGTACTCAGCATTGCGTCCTGGGTCAAGGCGAGTCAGACCTGATGGCTGCTCGCCCCTCTCCCCTGTGAAGGGAGCTCAGGCCCCAAGTTAGAGCTCTGTAGCCATTCCCCGGCTGCATTTAATTGTTTCAAAATCGGAATAAGTTTCCTCCCCAACCCCAAGCCCATGGTCTCCTCCTCCCATTTCTGCCCATAGGAAAAGATCAAAGGTGCTTCTGACTGGAAGGCGTGTGAGCAAGTGAGTGGTCTGGGCCCGCCGCTGTCACCCGCTCAGTTGTGGACTTTTATTTATTATCTGTGTGCTGTATTTTAATCGGATGCCGTCTCCTTTCCAACTCTAGCCAGTGTGTGTGTGTGTGTGTGTGTGTGTGTGTGTGTGTGTGTGAGAGAGAGAGAGAGAGAGAGAGAAATCCCAGCCCAGGCATCTTATTTATTTACTTTTGTCTGAGGATGGCTGTCCATCTGTGTCACCTGTCCCAGGGAAGGATAGCGTCCTGTACAAGAAGCTGTCACAGGACCCTCCCCACCCCAGCAAAACATGTGTCTTTGCATTGAGTGAGGGTTACCTTATGTCCACCAGGGATGCTTTGAGACGGTCCCCAAGCAGCAAGCTTCAGTCCCACTATTTCAAACTATTTATTTTCCAAGCACGAGTGTGCTGGCTCATTCTCCGCTCTCCTGTGCTGCCGGAGAGCACTCACTCCAGTAACGTACCTTTTTATTTGAATGTATTTTAAAGCAGTAGCTAGAATAGCAAAGGAAGATGACAACCTTGGCTCTGAACGGACCGTGTCACGGGTTCCAGGAGCCGCCGTCTGCGCCGGAAACACCATCGTCGACACGGCACTTCATGTAGTTAGCAAACCGGCGATCAGCACTGAGAACCACGCCCAGAAAGCGTGTTGGAATGCATCAAGATCAATAACAATCTATTCACTAATGGACATCAATAAAACAAGCTCAAAGGATGGACACCTTTCGTCTTTCACTTACTGTGTCTGTGCATGGGGATACGCACCTGAGTGCAGTTGTTCTTAGATGCCACGAGAGCTCAGTGTGTGCCCTGGAGCTGGAGGCAGTTCTGACTCCAGCCGACACGGGTGCTGGGAGCCAAACTCTGCAAGAGCAGCAAGGGCCACCCCTCCCGCCCTGACATAGCCTTTTCATCAGGAGGTTCACCTCGGAAGAGTTGAAGGTGTTTGGCTCTTTGGGGACAATAAATGAGCGGGGTATCCCTCACACCGTCCCTCTCCTGTCCCCGCCCAACGTAACCTTGCTCCGTGGACAAGTTCCCGGCCAGATGGTCTTTTCAGGGCTGCACAGTGCTCCACTGCTCTCCACAGATCCCTCCCCGTGAGCACACACATGCTTCTGTGAGCCCCTTCCTGTGAACACACCTCTGTGAGCCCCTCCCTGTGAGCACATCCTTCTGTGAGCCCCCGCCCTGTGAACAAATCCTTCTGTGAGCCCGTCCCTCACAGTTGGTCACAGAGTGAACAAAAGCTTTTCCTGTGAGTGATTTCCCACCCAAGATAGCACCAGTGTGTCAAGGAACAGGGCTGTAGAGGAAGACACACGAGACACACTCTGTAAAACCAGTGAAATAGAGAGACACGGGGCGTGCCTTCGTGAGTGTCAGGCCACCATAGGACATTGTGGGGTGTGTAACATGAATGTCAGGAGCATTGTAGAGAGTGACATCATGAATGCTAGTTCAGGACACTGCAAGGGCAGGGCATCATGCATGTTAGGACTGTTGGGGTGGGACGTGAATGTTAGTCACAGGCACTGGGAGTGGAGCATCTCGATTGTCAGGTTCAACTGTTTTGACAATGATGGCCTTGAGCTTGCCGTCTTTGGACGCCTCCACCTTTTTAATTGTGAGGAGGGGTTACTAGCTTTACCATGCGGCTGTGAGTCAGGGGCATTTATCTGAGCAGAGGGAGCAGCTGGTGAGGGGCAGAGTCTGAGGGCAGCACAGTGGCAGGACGGTGTCTGCTTCCTCCTCGCTGTGACCTAGACCTGACAGGAAGCAGTTCAAGGTGGGGAGAGCTTATTTCAGCAGCTCAGAGAGTACAGTCTGTCTATGGGGGAAGGATGGTCGAAGGAGCCTAGGAGACACTGTCACACTGTGCCGGGAGTGAGGCTGGGCTGGCAGACCACAAGGCTCTTCCTTGTGGAGGGAGACACACTCCCTCCAGCTTAAGGCTCCTTCACAACCTTTCTAAACAGCACCACCAGCAGGGAACCCAGTGGGAGGCAGCTCACACTTAAATCATAAGAGAGCAAATGTGGGAGGGAGGGATCTCAGGGCCCCCGTGCTGCCTTCGGCTCCACCCCTCCCTTGTGTTAAACACATCATGATGCAAGAGGGAACATCAGCAAACCTCCAGCCGTGGAACAGGAAATCCCAAGTGTGGAACAGGAAGTTCCTGCCACGCTGCAACTTGGAGGGAAAAGAAACGTTCATGATAAGTCAGTATGATTTTTGGATAGAACAGGGGACCCTCTGAGTTGGGTCCACATGTCTGTATCCTTTTTTGTTCTCAATTCTTTGAGAGTTTCACATATTGTATCTTAATCACATTCACTGGCAGCTCCATAACTCCTTACAGACTCACCTCCATCTCCCAAATCCATATCCCTCCCCCAGCCCAGGTTGTTCAGCCTGAGGACAAGTGGCCCTCAAGAGGCCAAAACAAGAACCAGGAAACAACATTCTTGGTTTTTAGCTCCGAGGAAAGAAAAGGCTAAGCACGCAGTTTGGTGTGAAACCAGACGTGGAGGGGAAGCCCGCCGGAACCGTCTTTCATTCTCCGCCAGCACGATGCGTGCCCCACCCTGCCCCTCCTAGGCTTGCTCGCCGATCATCCACGACAAGAACTGAGCAGGCAGGGGTCTTGCAGCAGAGGAGGAAAGGAAGGAGCTGGAGAGGCCGCAGTACTCTATGCTTTGGAGACTGGCAACCCCACCTTTTCCGGTAGTCTGCGTTATGGGAAAAGCGTGGGATGAGCCTTAGGCTCCAAGGACAGATGACCCAGTTTCACAGGGCGAGGAAGGAAAATGTCACACCGCCCACCCCAAGACTCACAGGGCCACGGCTCCACGGAGCAGCGCAGAAGGAGAAATGACAGCAGCTGGGGCTGAGCGGAGAAGTGTCCGGCCCCACACACAGCCCAGGAGCCTTGTGGATGACACCACAGAAAACAGTTCAGGCCTCCCTGGCAGCGCTAGCAGCGTGAGTTCCATTCAGGACCTAGGTACCATCTGGGGAAGGCTGGCAAAAGGGAGGCATCGGTGTGAAGCCTATAAGGGATTAATTTAAGATCCTGGCCTATGGGAGGAAATGGTGTCTACTATGTCTGAGCTCTTGGTTCCATCAAGCCAAAAAGATTGCCAGCAGAGGGCGCTCGGAGATAAAAGAAGGCCTTTGGGCACTGACCTTGGTGATCACAAGTTCAACCCCTCTGCTTTCCCCGGGAAAGTTGAATTTCAAGAAGGACAGGCTCCTCCCAATTCCCTTCAGGGCATCACCTGCAAAAGGGTGCCTGGGTTCAAGGCTGGGGAAACACCAGGGGGCGGGCCTGGCCTCTCATCCGTGTGTTCTCCAGATGGCTCCACCTCCTTTCAAGACATCCTGAGGCTCCGGGCACCCTGCTCTCAGCCTTGGCTGCCCTGGGGAGCCTCTAGTGGAGGGTGGGAGGGGCAGCGGGAGTGAGTAAAGCCAGGTGAGTCATGAGGCCAGTGCAAATTCTCAAGTCAGCAGTGGAGAACAGCATAGCTGGGGGAGGCGGGGGGGGGGGGGGAGGAAACACTTCGAGCACACCACCGACGCACCCGGGTCATCCAGGATCAACTCAAAAATAACCGTGAAAATGTCATGTGTTGGTGAGATGCCATCCACCTGGGACACGAGCCCATGTAAAGTCAGCTTTAGTTGTCACCGTGACACAACCTACAATCATAGTCTCATTGAGGGACTGTCTACATTAGGGTTGGCCAGAGTGTGTGTGCGTGCGTGTGTGTGCGCTGGGGAAGGATGTCTTTTTTTTGGTGGGGGGAAGGATGTCTTTTTTTGGGGGGAGGATGTCTTTTTTGGGGTGTGGAGGATGTCTTAATTAAGAATGACCCGACCCCCTGTGGGCAACACCATTCCCTGAGCAGGGGTCCAGAACGGATTGAGAATGGAGACAATAAAGCAGGCGTGCGGGTGCCGGGCTGGGCCTCTGCCTCAACAGGGCACCACTGAAGCCAGGTGGGCTCTTGGCTCTCGCTGGCTCTGTAGACCCCATGGCAAGTCTTCCCCGTTCCCTTTGCTCCTCTTTCACCCCACTCTGCTAAGCAAATGCCTTCCCCCTCTTTTACAGTGCAAACAGACCCACGAGCTTGCCGAGGACAATCCTTGATGTTCTCGTCAGTTTTTATGAAGGAAAAATATTCTCTGTCAAGATTCGACCCATTTCTGCATGAATTCTGTGAGTCTCTTCCTCTCCCCATCTGCCGGTACCCTATTTCATCTCTTGTAGCTTCACTTACCTGTATTAAAAAAAAATTCTTTATGAAGCATTTAAAGTTCGAGCTAAGAGCAGGACAACAGATGGCATACTCACATCGGCTCGGCTCCCAGCTGCAAATGCAAAAAGTCTACGTGGGTGGGTTAGAGCACCGTTTATAAACCAGCCTGCTGGTTACAATCGCCCGGGGTCAGTGACCCCTCATAGGGGTCACCAAAGACCATTGGCAAACACAGATACCTACATTACAATTTGTAACAGTAGTAAAATTACAGCTATGAAGTAGAAACGAAAATGATTTTATGGTTGGGGGACCACAACATGAGGAACATTAGGAAGGTTGAGAACCACTGGGCTGGAGATGTTCTAAAAGGGTAACTGCAGGGTAATAATTACATCAAAGAGTCTCCCTAAACACAGAGAATCAAACTTCGTGGTGACGGAGGAAGGAGCGTGCCAAAAGATGCCACCACCAGACCACCATTGGCCCTGCAGCCCAGACTGCTGACCAAGGAGTCCAGGGTCACAAGCCTATGGCTGGGGTGGGGTGGGCATCCTATAAGCCTATGGCTGGGGTGGGGCAGGCATCCTATAAGCCTATGGCTGGGGTGGGGCGGGCATCCTATAAGCC